AAATACAATAAAGAATATATATAACTACTAATGCTATTTATAATATACTATACTAAAATCTACTTTGTAACAATATACTAAAAATTTCTACTGATTTTTTTCATTTTTAATTTAAAGTACCAGAACTATCAAATTATTTTTTTCTTTTAAATTCTTAACTAGTACTATTTTTTAAACTTGATTTAAAATAATAACAATATTAATAAACTTTATTTTATTTTTATAATACAATTATTATATTAACTACAATTTTTTTAATTCTTTTATCTTATTTAAAATTAATAAATTTATACAAATAACCAACAACTTCTTATATTTATACTAAACAATTTATATATTATTTATATTTTATAGATTCTTTATAAAGTACTTATACAATCTAGTTCAAACTTATCTAAATTTGTATAAATATAACAAATCTAGATGGGCTTTGATCACTCTAGTTAGTTTAGGTTATAGATAAAATTGTTTAAGCTTTAATTCTTACATGTAATTTTTATTTTATATTATACAATCTTAGTATATCTTAATATTTAGTATATTAATATATACAACAAAAATTACTAATAAAGATATGAGTAAAACCTTTTCTTAACATCAAAAAAATAAATTTATTAGATATATATTTTTCATGATTAATTTATTATATATATATTTTTCATAATTAATTTATTATATATACATTTTGCATAAATTTATGTTATATTTTTTGTATAACTGTAATATAATTTTTAAGCCTACTGTACATAAATATTAAATGAGCAGTTGTATATTTGAATAAGCTGTAGATTAGTAATATAAGCAATGTGACTTTATATTACTATAAGAGAAATGTAAAACTGTTCATAAAAGAGTAAATAACTGCTCATAAGTATATTGATAACTTTATCATATAATTACTTAGTATAGCCTTTGCGAATAAAATTGTATAAATATAGATCTTTTTCATCTTTCAAAAAGAACCAGTTACAGATTAAGAATAAAGCCTAAAAGACAAATAAATACTATACCATCTTTAAAACATATTATATTAATTTATTTAACTTTGTTTAATTCTCTATTACACTATATTATTCTATTATATAAGTATATGCTAGGTCTTTTATTTAATATAAAGGAAGTAAGCATTAAGGCTAAATAGACCTTTCTCTGAATAAATAGGAGCTATATTTTATGTAGGTATAAAGTATAATTTACTTAAGAAAAACTGCTTATAGAAATATTAATGCAATCAATCAATTACATAGTGATTAAATTAATTATTTATTATGATCCTTTATATATAAATCACTCTTGAAATATTTTTAAAATTCATGTCACTTTTAATTAAATCAATCTTGATCACCTGTAAACTATCACTTCTTCCAATCAATTACTATAGACCTATTCAAATATAGTATATGGAATTCTACTACTACTGATAGTACCTCTTCTAATAGTAATTATATCAAAAAGAATTACTCTACACAGCACTTGTTTTTCTCTTTTTGGGAGCTATGCTGGCAGTTAATTTAGGCCAAATGATTTTTATTAAGAAATTAACAGAGTATATAATAAAGATGTGAGCAATTGGCCAAGTTGGCCAAAATGGCACAGACTACTCATAAAATAAGCAATCATAATTGCACTAGGAGTCACTGTGAGAGCAGCTGGTGGTTTTTTGCTAACTGAAGCAAGCCAGCTGTGAGTAACGAAATGATAGAATCATGTGTTCTCTATTTGGAAGTAGGTTGGGTGGGTCACTAAAAGAATTACCCTTTTCAAGCATAGTCTGTCTTGTTTTTACTGTCCTTGGCTCTTATACCTACCTGTTACATAGAATACCACTTCTGTTACTTTACACTAATACACATATTATTGGCATATGCAATTTATAATTGCATCAAAGCTTCTTATGCTGTTATTTCATTCATATGTGCATGCATTATAAGGTCAACGATGAGGCACTATGTCATTTCTCTCTTTTTGATTATATGATATGCTATCACTTTGCACAAAAAAAATTACTTTACATAGCACTTGTTTTTCTCTTTTTGGAGCTATGCTAGCAGTTAATTTAGACTGGTTGATTTTTATTAAAAAATTAACAGAGTACATAATAAGAAGTAAGCAATTGGCCAAGTTGGCCAGAACAGCACAGACTATACATGAAATGAGCAATTGTAATAGCACTGGGAGTTGTTGTGAGAGCAGCCAGTAGTTTTTTACTTGCTGAAGCAAGCTGGCTATAAGTGATAAAATAATAAAATCATGTGTTTCAAGTTTTTTTTTTTGGATTCTATCATTGAAAGTACAATTTTATTTATTTATTTTGCATATGATAGTGAGACTGAAATTTGCTTCAAATGTTTGTTATGTCAAAAAGGTCAATTGTTATATGCATTGTTTGTTTTACTATATGATTTCTTCTTTTCTCTCACTTTTCTTTTCTTTTTTTTGATATTTATAATTTTTATTATTGTAACTTTAACTGTAACTTCTGATTTAATTATTTATTACCTATATATATATATATCAATATATTTTTTTTTGATATTAAGATGACCTCTTTGGTCTTTTGACTTTTATTAATCACTTATCAGTATTGTGGTTTAATAAACTATTACAGAAGAGTGTACAATTGGCTACATGTGTAACTTTTCTATATTACCTATTTAAGGAGTCCGCCTGAAGGTTCCCCACCAAT